CAGTTTTAGCACTGGGCCTGCCCTTAACACGCTCTCCAAAAGTACAGCTCCACGTTACCTTTTGGGAAGCAGACCTCACCTATTCAATCACTATTTCTTATTTTCTTCTTCTCCCTCGAAAGAATCTCAATGGCATTTGACAAAAGGACGAGGGAGGTCGTATTGGTTTTTCGTACCTTATCCTCAAAATTTGAACCTTGCTGTTATAAGAATTGTTTCAAATCTGAGCTATTTTGCTGAACAGTTTCATTTCAGGTTCTCTTGTTGTATGCCACACAGTCTTCACTGAAACAAGATCTTCTATCTCAACCATAATAAATTAAAGAAAGCTGTGACCAGTGCAAACCAAACCACGAACAACATACCAGGCATTGAAAGTGTATAAAAAATACTTCTAAACATTTCAACATCTATTCACAATACTTAACACCTTATCCGAAAATAGGCGAAGGGTTTTCCAGTCTGAAGTTGGCTTAAGGTTCCCATCCATGCCTGAAAATGGTTATCCATCATTGATTCGTGTGCTCCGGTATGAAGCAACTTACCTCAATCAAACCGGTCAGCGCTGTCCTCAGGCGAGATCATCATATGCGTCTTCGGCCTCGATCGCTTCAATAAGCTCGTCAGATTTGTCGTCAATGTCATCGACATCCTCCTTCAACATTCGTGAACGAATGGCCAAAACTTTCTGGAGAACGCTATCCCTCCAAGTGTGGACCACAGGTGTTTTGAAGGTCAACATCGTCTTCCCTCGAGGTCCATCCCGCTCCTCGACCTTCTCAACTTTTCTAACACCTGACAGTTCGGCAAGTCGAAGCGTATTCAAATGCATTTCAGCCATCTTCATAAATACCGGATATACTGAGATCGGACTGAAAAGGAATAACCCTACATGTACGACCTGTCCATTCTTCTGAATGCATTATCTCGCAACCGCGAAAATGTAGCAAACTTACTAGTCGATATCTTTCCTGCAGTAGATTCTGTACAAGGCTTTTTCGAAGTGACGTACAGAAACACCCACAGCAGGACTAGCTTTCACCAAGTCTCGTTGGAATCTCTTGTTCAGCACCACTTCTCGGAAACTTCTGAAGGCGCCATTTTGTAGCTGACAAACACTCGAAGAATCCGTTTGACCATTTGTGCTGTTGTTAGATCCAGTGAAACTGGTCTGAAATAGCAGGCATGACACTGGGAACAACTCGATTTTTATGCATTGCTTACCGGCACATACTCCTTCGCTTCTGTAACTTGACCGAGGCATGCATTGAAGCGGTGCGGCACTTGTGAGCTATATTGAGGCGACCATTCGGCTGCACTCCAAAGCAGCGCCTTCACTTTTTCTATCCATGGCAGTATTGACGAACAGCCTTCCCTGTGCGCCACCTGCAATGCATACCATAACTAAGAACAATGGATTCCGTTCCAATTTCACACTGAAGTCTTCACCATAACATTGAAAAGAGTTGGGGTTCTTTCTATGTAGTGAACTAACATTTTTGTCAAATGTAGAAGAACTTTGGTGCGGCAATTAAACGTTTTATTATACGAAAGGAAACGACCTCACATGCTAATTGTCTGATGGCATATACTTTTTTTGTTGGAAGAGGGAGAAGCAACCCACTCAACAATGTCAGTTTATGTCATGCGAGAAGCTGACAAAATCACATGAAGAGAAGAAGGAAAACAGCAGAAAGTACGCTCAAATGTGCCAAAAAGAGGGAAGGGAATCAGAAAGAAAGAAAGAGGTATCACTGAAATCAACCAAAATATTTCCTTGAAAATATACCTGCCGCAACCTGCACGTTCAAAGTGTAATCGATCATCGGCAGATCCTTAAATTATCCATAAATGATGTCTGAATGATTTAAAATACGCAATACGTAACCTCGCACTGGGCCCACTTGAAGGAGGAAACTTATTTTTATTTATTTATAATGTACCAGTTGGCGCCGCACGCATTGCGCGCGCAACACAGATCTGTGGCGAATTTTGATGGTGCGACGAAAAATTTCAAATTTGGCTTGATACAATACGAATATCTGAATTCTCCGCTAAATTCTATGCCTCGGCCCGGACAATAAATCTCGTGGCGAACTCCGTCTACTTCGGTGCGTGCCCTGCCGACCAATAGCATTTGGCTCCCTTCTTTTCGCCGACCTCTACCCCCTTTTTCACCGGTCTCTGGGACCTCTTGGAACCAAATTACGACACTTTTGGCAAACTCCGCCCACTTAGGTGCGTGCTCTACCCAGTGATAGCAGTTGAGCTCTTTTCCCTCACCAACCTCTAACCCCGTTTTCCCCTATCTCTAGGACCTCTTGCAACCGAATTGCGATACTTTTGGCAAACTCCGCCCACTTGGGTGCGTGCTCTACCCACTAATAGCATTTGACCTCCTTTCCTTCGCCGACCTCTACTCCCTTTTTCCCAGCCTCCTGGACTTCTTGGGGCCGAGTTATGAATTTTCGTCGCAAACTCCGCCCACTTTGGTCATGTCCCTCCTCACCTTGACAGATGGCCTCCACTCCTCCACCCACACCTCTATCCACCTTTTCCCCAGCCTCCGGAGCTTCATGGAGCCGAGTTATAAATTTTCGTCGCAAACTCCGCCCACTTTGGTCAAGCCCCGCCCACCATTGATAGCTGGCCTCCACTCCTCCATACACCTCTATCCACCTTTTTCCGGCTCTTTAGGACTTCCCCGACCCGAATTATGAGGGCTTGTAGAAAATGCTGTACACTTCAGAGCGCGCCCCGCCCATTCTGGGCAGGCCTCCGCCCACGTCATGTATGCGGGAAACACCTTAGACATTGCTCCCTTACACCGAATTGTTTTCTGCTCTGTAGGCTTTCTCCCAACCGAGTTATGAAATTTTTCATAAAGCACTGCTTTTTTAGAGAACGCCCCGCCCACCGGGGGTGGGTCTCCCTAATTCGATGTTACTTACCAATGCACACCTTAGCCCACTTTTTGGCCCAGTTTCGAGGTCGTTTTTTCACTGAAATCGAAATCTTGGTCTTTGGTACAATTCATTTCGACGCACGCCACGCCCTCTGTGGGCGGGGCTCCGCTTAGCTGATGTGTGTTTTGTATTACGTGAGACCCTGCCCACCCATCCCACACTTGACCCGGTCCCTCCAGGCGGATCCCGAGGAGCTAGGGAATTTCGTGACAGACATACAGAACGACAGACAGAGGGACAGAACGACAGAGGGACAGAACGACAGAGGGACAGAACGACAGAGGGACAGAACGACAGACGAAGCGCTTTATAGTGTGTAAGATTTTTAATGCTCTAAAGCTGTCCATATACAATATCAACCTGAGAAAAACAATTAGAATTCTTACGCTATACCAGATCAGGAACGGGCTTATCTAACCTGAATACAAAAACAGAATAGAAAACACCCAGTGCCGTAATGGGTTTCAGAGTTCTTTACCTACAATCAAGTTCGACACCGACTACTGAGGCATATTTATTTGGTATTTATTCCCTTATAGTATATTGAAGCTTGTTCAAGGACTCCCCCACGGCCATGGACCAGTGGGGGACCGGATTTTTTGACACGAAATGCATGGTAGGTACGGATCCACGTGTCGAACGCACGAACGTGAACAGGATTCACTTCAAACCTTCCCATGAACGTGGATCCGTACCTACCATGCATTTCGTCGCAAAACCACTTCCGGTCCCGCCCACTGGTCCATGGTCCGTGGAAGATTCCTTTAAGAAAATTCTGTCGCTCAGTATTGTTAGACTTTGCTACCGACCCAAGAACTGCAAGAGCCACTCGCGCCACAACGCAAGCACCACGATCAATAATGGCGCAGTGCAGCGCTGGTGCCATCCGTTGAGATGCTACATGCATCAATCTGAATGCTAACAGACGACGCAACCGCTGCATACTGCCACTAGTCATTGTGATGCTTGCGTATCCGTGCGAGCTTCACTTGCGATTCGCACTACGGTCGCAAAGCAGACAGACTGCCCAAAGTCGCGAACTCTTGCATTCAAAAATGCCACTCAAGATGTTTACAGAAACTCACCCTTCGAAGTTCCCTTTCCAACCATTTCACCAGGAGTGATGTGTCATAAAGGTGTCGAACACTGCCTAACTCAGGTTCCATATTTTTTAGCGCTACTCCGAGAGCAGGATTACGCTTAGTAACCAATGATTGCAGCGGTAGTTTCTCCTTTGAAATCCAACGAAGGAGGCGATTTAGCCCCTCGACGTCAACACGGCCATCAATTTGACCTGAATTAACACGACTAGTAAAATCGCACCAGTGGCACCTCGATAAAATTTAATACCTGACTCGGAGCGATGAACAAATTCTGCATGCAGGATTAGTTTCGTGCGAGTGTCACTCAGAACTGCCTTGCCGATGACCGGGGAAGGTCCAGTTTTGGTGACATTTCCATCAGCTGCTAAGCACAGTCCTTCCTTGTCGCTAAAATGAAGGACTTCATGGGAAGAGTGAAACAAGCCAGGGTGGACCATTAGAATACCTCATAGGACTTCTGCACGGCCTTCATTACATCCTTCTGATGCGCTTCATATACTTGCTCGACAGCGGCCTTCGTCCATTGGAAAACTTTCCAAAAGAATGCTTTCGTAAAGAAAGAAAGGTTCAACTGCTCCGCCCACCGTTGCAACTCCTGGATTATGAGGCTTGAACCTTTTCGTAAAGAATAACAGAATCAACTTACTGAATATCGCAAGCCCGTGGTTATGGCTGCAACAGCGGCCTCAAGATCGCCCTTGTACGTCTTCTCCTTTTTATGGTCCACAGCTCGACGTTGACTTTCCCATCGTCTCACATGTGGATAACGTAGTGAACAAGTCGAGCAAACATAACGCATCACCGCAGCGGTACCGACTGGGCACAAACGACTTTTCGCCAATTTTTGTCCACATTCGGGACAGAATTTGAAGAGTTTCGTGAGCATTTCGCCTTCAATTAGGAAGTACTGTTTAAGAAGTGCTGGATCTGTTGCGTCGAGCTCCGGCGCAGGAACGGAAGAAGACTCCACCGAACATCCCGGATGTCTTGGTTCGTTGTCAAGATCAATCTAAATCCTGTAGTGATAATGGACAGACTGCGGAAATGCACGAGAAACAAAAGCACCATGTTGCTTACAGTCATCGCTTCTGGAGCGTCGATATCCCGCTTCACGAACAATTTATCGTTTTCAGGCTTAATATCCCGACCCGTCAGAGTAGGGCCCGTCGTTTCACCAAACTCCTCAGAAATGTCCTCACATTCCACTTTGGGCTGTTTCAGAATGCCATATGTAGTATTCTTCTCCGTCAGAGTTTCTTGTTTGAGAACATCCGCCTAAAAGCGTTTCCAACTAAATTTACCACAGTTTCACGCGAATACAGCATCCCAACGTACCAATGTTGTTTGCCCAGTTTGGTTTGCCCTCAAGGACCGATGCAGGGCTTCCTTGTCATCACACTCATCACCACCAACCATCGCACATGCTGATCCAAAAGCTGTCGCAGAAGTGTTCAGAGATCCTTGTCCAGGCGGCGCCACAACTCCATGTCCAACCGTTTGATCCATCTCATCATCGTAATCCATCTAAAAACTCGCTTAACAATGGTTAAAAATAGTCTGTCAAAGCATGGTAACTGCTGAAAGAGCTGCCTTACCTTTTCGTCAATCTGGCAGCTCGTATTCCACCCGTCCTGTGTATAATAGCGACGGAGAGCGTCGTTCATGAACTGGCATATGTCCCGTTCTGTGATGACCACCGTATGCTGAAAAAGGGAAAGCCGTTCTTCCTATACCCATGCCTTCTAATTAACGATTATACACACAAAAATATTGACATTTTCAACAGAACTATGACATCCTCCACCGCTAGAAATCTTAGGCAACACTCATAGCTCACGTTTAGTACGAATTGACCTCAGCCGAAATGAAGTTGAAAAGGTTATCCATGATCTCATTACATTCAACAGTAAGATATTCCCGATGTGGAAGCGTCTTCATCGATCGTGCTGGATTCAGTGTTTACCGTTCTCCTAATCTATTATATTTAGCTAAACATTCTACGTCTATTCGAAACGATAACACCTGCATGCGACTTGACTTGAGGATTGACTTGCGGGATCAGCTAATAAACAAATCAGTATTTTTATCCGCCAGAAGGGTCTGCCACTACTTAACCGAACCTATAGGGATAGAAGATCGATCATGTTAATTGCGATTTGTTCCCAAATTAGGCCGCAGGGCTATGCTGTGATGAATGTCGCTACTTTCGACAAAACCACCTTCGCACCACTAAATACGATGTACGAAAGTATGGAACGGAACACCAAAACAGATACCATCTTTTCACAACTGTGATAGAGAAGATGTTCCTTAGAAAATTAACAAGCGAGCCATTTTTCAAATTCCCAGCCTCTCTTCAACGTGACTTCACTTCATTTTCATCATTTTTCATTAGCATGGGCGGAAGTGGTGTAGTGGCAAGTGGCACGCTCACCACGCGAGCGGTCCGGGATCAAATCCTGGGTCGTGAGTCGCCCGGGCCAACCCCCCGCAAGTCATTGTATAGGCCACATCGCATTCAAACGCCACTACGAATGTACAAATGGAAGTAGAATGCGTGCCGCATCCCAAAAAGGGATTGATCAACGGCAAATGCTTTATCCTTTTTATTTATCCTTTTATTAGCATTTGAACCTCAATGCTCTTATCAAAATTCCTCAAACTTGTGCTGACTCACATCAATGTCCTTCATGTAGAGATTCAGGAGATCCATGACGTGCAGTGGAATTTCAGCTTCATTGACGTACGCTGTGCTGCCAACGGCGGAAGGATCGTTGTAATATGAAAATCGAGTTCCAACTGCAGCCATCTCTGCGGCCAGATATTTAGCCTACAAAAGTGATCGAACCATCTCCAATCTTGACCAATCAGCTGAAAAGCTGTTTCGCCTTACCACACCTTACCACCAGATCAATCCGATACGATTCCCTACTGAAAGAGACCAAACCCTCCCTTAAGGCAGGTGCCCCGATTTGCGAGAATTGCACATGTGGCGGTTCTTTAGAGTTCGAGGTCTTAGAAAAGCCAGTGCATGTCTAAAGAGTGTTAGGTTGTGTCGAATTTCCCAACCAAGCCTGCACACTGACAGTTTTTCTTTTAGATATCGGACACTGAGTGGCTCCTTGAGGACACTCACAGGCTCCTTTGCAAAACTGAACACAAAAAACACTGCAATCGGAATCGCGCAACAGTCAATGTCTGGTTCCTATTCAATAGAATTTCCTGACACATCCCTTTTCTTCTACAAATGGGGCTTTCAGAGAACTGGCGTGATTGTCGCAGATCCTTTTCGAGATAATCAAGATAGAAAATATGTATGTTTATTTTCCATAAAACAAAACTCAACAGCAAATCAACATAATTGAGGTGTTGTGTCAGCAGATCCTGTTCTCTCGTAGTGAACAGTTTGATTGTTGCGTGACACCCCTTCATTGTTTCGGTATTCGGATCCGCCGAGGACGACACCATCAGCAACGTGACGAGGATGGCATTATGGGGTTTGCTGACGGACACGTATCGTAACGCATCTTGCTCATGGAGCTTCCCACACAACAAGCAACTCCTTCGAACCATTTCCACCTCACCCGACACCGAACGTATCGATGCCAAATTACTTCCCACCTGAATCGAAGACCACGAATTTTTGCCGATTAAGATAATCGTAGATTCACCAGTTTCATTATCGACTTCCTTCCGTTCTTTTTTCAGCCTGCATGTATTATGAAGACCTGAGAAAGGGCTTAGGCCCGAAAACGGAAAAGAGATTAATGCATAGCATGTGCTGAAAACTTCAATCAGATCTAATGTAAACCGTGTTGAAACGATCTCACGGTCAGTTTACATCTTGGAGAACAAGAACTGGTAAATAACAACTTCCATGAATATGTATGGCTGGTGTCAGAGCCCGCTATCCGTCACAGGTTTCGCTGATTTCGCGTTTTGCGGATTTGACACCGCGACGAACATCAACCGAACAAACTACACAAAGTGTCTGATCATAGTGTATTGGGTGTCCTCAATAACTCCGTATCGCCCATTTTATGCTTGAAATTACTGGCCGATGTCAGACTTTGCGATTGGAGCGATTTTGCACCAATTGCAGGAGCGACGGATCGCTTGAGCGATGCGCTGCGAGCGACGGGAGATTTACACCGCCGACCACCGATACACACGGCGCCGCTCGGGTAAATCTCCCGTCGCTCGCACTTTGGAGCGACGGATCGCTCAAGCGATCCATCGCTCGGGCCGTGATGTGCCTCCTTGGCCGTTGTGGCAGGGAGCTGCGAGCGACGGGAGATTTACGAGCTGATGGCGCCGAATTATCGGTGGTCGGCGATGTAAATCTCCAGTCGCTCCTGCACTTGGTGACTGCTCATGATTCCACTTGATTCATATTCCGTTGCAGGTTTCGCGCAAGTAGCGAAAATTGTGTGAATCGTGCAAATTGCGAAAATCGCGTGAATCGCGCAAATCGGAAAGTCAGCGAAACCTGCGACAGACCGCATACTCTGACACCAGCCTATCAGTGGCGCAACAAAGCGCAAAAAGTGTGGAAACAACTATCAGAGTATCGAAACAGCGGAAGTAATGAAAAAACGTCACATAAAAAGCAAATAGTTCAATAATTCCTGAAGATGAATGAGAGCAAATGTCCCAAAAGCCACTCAAATCCCCGTGCGTCCCGCTGTCCACGCATGTGAGGTAATGACAAAACGCGACCCGTACCTGCTTCAAGACATGTTGTCCTGAAGGGGGAGGGATGGACATGGTGCTGCAACTGCGCGTGATGCGTTTAGCAGGAGAAACATGTCTCAACTTGTTACTATGCTGAAGCGCAGAAAGTCAATGAAGCAGAAATAGTTCTGGCGGGTTTGCTGAAGTAAATGGGGGCATAGCGCTCGGCATGAAGGGCAGCTATGACGAAAGAAAACATATAAGAAGGTGAAATATCAGCTTCAAAGCACAACGCAGGCAGAAGTCGTGTAAACGATTGCCTCTGGTCTGTAGGATAGAACCCTAGAGGACAATCACAATGTGGCACTCCTGTGCACGGAAACAACCGACAAGAGCGCTGGGGCCTTGCAAAGTTAGCTGCAGCAGCTGCAACGTTTCCGTCCGCAGCAGACTGTTGTCTAGCAATTCTCATCTGTTCCGCTCTCTCGCCTCATACTCTCCTCTCCGCGCTTAGTCTCTCACTTCCTTATTGTTAGCACAGCCGCATTACAAAGGTGAGTGAGCCCTAACCTGAGCGTTTTCGACAGATTCTTCACTCTTTTCTTTACTGCCGACCCATTTCGCACCTATACGGCCATATTTGTGCGCAAGAACCACCTGATCCTAGAGCAGTCTTAAAATCTTGAGGTAGTCAGCACAGCGAACAATTTCGGCAATTAATCCAACGAAAAAAAAACGCTCGAATTACTGAAGTGAATTCACGCGTGAGTGCCGCATGGTCCAAGTGGCGTTCTATGACGGGTGTTCTCTGCGACAAAAAAATTCCAGAACGCCTGAAATCGAAGATCTATAGAACCGTCATAAGACCAGGTGGCAATGTACGGCGCTGAGTGCTGGCCCACGACTAAGGAAATGAAGCCCGCCTCGGTGTAATGGAGACGAAAATGCTGCGCTGGACGGCTGGTGTCACGCGTTTAGATCGCATTCGTAATGATACCATACGAGATCGCTTTGGTGTAGCTCCTATTGCTGATAAGATGCGCGAAGCTCGACTTCGATGGTATGGTCATGTGCTTCGTGGAAACGATGACAGTGTGCGTAAGATGAGCCTCAACATCGACGTGCCCGGAAAACGGCCTAAGGGACGTCCAAAGCAGCGCTGGCTTGATACATTGCATATGGACTTAAAGTTAGCTGGTATCCATCCCGATCAGGCATTCAATCGGGAAAAGTGGCGTCAACATATCAGAAAAGCGGACCCTGCCACCAAGCGGGACAAACGCTAAAGAAGAAGAAGAAAAAACGCTCGAATGAGCAGCGTAGAGCCAAATCCTAACTGCTACCGGCACCAGCCGCACTTGATAGATGTCGCGTGAATAACTGCTTCCAAAATAAATCGCTAATGTAATGCATGCTGTAACAGCTTCCCACGCAGCTTTTAGCAAGTGCGGCAGCAGCCACGTCACTTTCGGTGACACGCCTACGCCAACTCTCAGATGAGGACTGTATTACGTACTCCACACTAAGCACAACACGGTCGCAAAGTATGACCGCGGCCAAGGAGGTATGACGTCACACTCAGTTTTGACATCTATCCGAAAATGGTCTCTAGCTTCGCAAACATGTGAGATGAGAAATGGCCACCGGAGAAAGTTCCAGATTCGACTCTTTTCGACACGACCTGCAACGAAATCATAGTAGTAGGATGAGGCGCTGCATTAGAAGTCCCCAAATCCCGCACATTTGCGATGGTACTTTCCTCTGAAATCACTTGATCGGCCAAAGCGGAATAGTTGGGGCGTTGCGCGCAGCATTTCGTGCCGAAAACAGGACCCCACTTTTCGCAACAAAAGGCTCTGGGTGGGCGAACAATTTCGTTCCAGGAGGAGGAGTAAGTGAGCATGAAAATAAAAATTCCTCATGATTATGAATCTCTTGGGTGCTCCTGGTCATGACGCCCCCAGTCTAAACCGACCTGGATCCAGAATAATAGGATTACTTCTGAACTCCTGTCGAAGGCTCGTAAATCACACGCAAGCCCCTGCTATTGTGAGTAATCCTTGATAAAAAAAATCATGCGCTATATTTGTTTTAGAGAGCACTGTGCGCCAGTGGAAATCATTGAGATTGCGGAAGCAACATTCGTAGATATTCACCAATGGGCGGGCTTTTTAGATAGGCGGAGCTCCTTGGAAACGCATCTGCTGGCTCATCACTTCTTAAAGCAACAGTCCAGGCAGGGTTTCAACTACTTGGTCATTAGGCGGTCAAAACATGCCCCAGCCCAACTAAAGTTTATAGGAAATGTCTTTAAGTTCAAAACCTACCTCTAAAATGCGCTGGAAGGGGTCGAAGTCCTCTTGGAGGGGGCGGATCACCCATAAAGAGGCGGATCGCCCAACATACGCTGTGCAGAGCGCCGTGCTCGACTAGCGGTCGTTGCGGGACACCGGAAGTGACGTGCACTTGATAGAAACTATGTGGATAAGCTGCTTCCAACATACATCGCTGGCTATCAGCAAAGCATGCTGGCAACAGCTTATCCACGCACTTCTATCAAGTGCACGTCACTTCCGGTGACACACCCACCCCAACTTTCGGATATCGACTGTATGTGTATCTGTATGTATACTCTATTTCAGAAGAAGAGAATAAAATTGAGTGCAGGCCAACACGTAAGAGACGACGGCCAAAAGGAAAGCGGCTTTTTTCGTGGCCGTCGTCTCTTATGGTGGGTGGTCCGCTGTCTGTCCGTCCGTAAAATGAGGTGTGTGATAAGGAAGCTTAGCTGCGTTCATAGTTCGCGACTCGGGAGATTAGGATAGTAGGCGATAGGATATTAGGATAGTAGTAGAGAGTAGGAGATTGCGCTGACAAGATTGGATACGTATCGATTGAAATCGCTGGAGAGTAGTAGATTGGGCGACTTCAAGCGAATAGATCAATACATATCTAATCTTGTCAGCGCACTATCCTAATCTACTACTATCCTAATCTCCTACTCTACTACTATCCTACTATCGTAATCTGCTACTCTCCGGGGGATCAATGTCGATACTTATCTAATCGGGTCCGCGCCATATCGCCTACTCTATTGCTATCCTGATCTGCCTCGTCTTACCAGTTAAATACCATCTGTCAGCTACCATATTCCTAGATCATACAGACGTCGCGAAGTGAGTGAGAAGGAAGCTCATGGGATAAACAAACCGCTAACAAATCGGGTAGCTTACAGGATTTGAGATATCAATGTTTTGTAGCAGGATAGTTGTGATAACACTCTTAGGGCTATATAAACACCTGCTTAGCACACTTCCGTTCATTCCACATGGTGCTGCAGTGGCAGCTGGAGGGCAGTGGAGAGAGGAAGGGAGGATGGGTAGGGAGGAGGAAAATCTGTGTCATGTCATGACTATGACGATGCCAACTACTATATGAGAACTACTTTGTGTTGCATACGCGTCACCTCCACGAGGTGTTGGTGTCACAGGAGGAAGGGACCATAGCGGAAGGATAGAAAGCTTGCGCAGGAAAGGAAGGTCCCGGCGGTTGACGGGGGACCAATCTGGTACATTTAAAAAAGAGAGAACTCAAGCGATGCTTGGAATAAGCCTCAGTTGCTTGATCTAACTGTTCGGTAAGACAATGAAGCACAGTGACAGAGAGCTTTTCGACAAAGTACAAATAAAGGTGAGATGAATAATATAATGGGGAGCCACGCCCAAACGGTGAACACAAGGAGAACGCGAAGACGGATCGATCGGCTCTTATTTCATAACGACATACCAATTTACGGAGAGCCTTAACAAATTTGAAAGATGTTTCTTGCCAGAATTCAACATTACTTTCGAGCTTACCTCTTGTGATAGTAAACTAGGTAAACTTGGAAATCATAGCGACCTAAGGAACCAGATATCATATGTGCTGTTTTTTAAACCTGTGCGCAATAAGACACTACACTGAAGTATGGCTTAGACTTATTTGGCACTTATGATCGTCTTATGGGCTTATAGGTAACAACCAATTTGCTTTTAGCAATTGCTCTTAGTCACAAAAGTAGTTTGATAGAGCAGGATCCAATTCCTATACAAGCTACTTATTGCGTAGAAGTGTTATGGAAGTCAATTCAGCCTAAGAAAAAGAAAGAAAAAGTGATAACATGGATAAATTCAACTGGCAAATGTGACCCTCGTACCGGGCCTTTTTTTTAAATTGACTCATTAAAGGTGAGGATTGGTTGGAAGGGAGCAGGTCCTGCCATGGCAACGGTTTTGGCGAGTGGCCAAAGTGTTATTGACAATCGATAATGAGTTCATAGTTTATTTCGGGGATTTTTCTCAACCCTTCACCTTGTTTCGCGTGTTTGATGTGATGTTATGCTTTCGCGGCCTACCATAATTCACAATGCAATTGTGAATTTGTTCTTGTCTGCTGATGCATTCGGAATTTTCTTGGTTCACAAATATTTGTCTCATTTTAGACTTGGGATGATCCGATTCATCCTCATTCAAAATCGAGCGGGTAAAACGCGACTTGCCAAATGGTATATGCATTTTGATGACGACGAGAAACAGGTATATTAGATAGCAATCGTTTTGTTATTTCCTGAATTGGCGCATGCCTTGGGGGAGGGGGACATCAAGTGAGTGGTCCTTGCATCTCCTGTTTAACATCAGTGAAACGAAAGTGGAGGTAGATTCTTAGCAGCTTCATTTAGAGCTAACAATAACTGTATAATGGTAGCATAGTTGAGCTGGGCTGCTAGTGAATTGTACTAGTGAGCTATATTGAGAACTTTAAACCTTCCTATGTTTTTTAAAAGTTGTCAGTTCTATGATCGAACGCCAATAACGTCATCATTCGTCCCTGTGCGTGCTAGAAGTGGCCCAGTGGACCCTCCCTGCTGTTTCCGTTCAAAGCTTTCGTGATTAAGCCTAGTCACCAAACTGGTGGCTGCTGTTCCTAGCTGTTTGGCATATCAGTGAAAATAGCAGTACCGGAATGGGGCAAGTAATGGTCGACGGACTACTTGAACTCAGCCCTTTAAACCGCCTCTGCGCTCTCTAGCGGGTCCCTCTCCTCTCCAAGGCTTAGTCCTAGGGCATTCTCTAATCGTCTGTGCTCTAGCCATCGCGGCAGGACCATTGAGGAAAAATCAAGTAGTCCGTAAACCGGCAAGTAATAGTGGAGAAGAGTCAAATTGCCCTCACATTGTTGGGCTGACGTACATTTGATAATGTGTTCTGGGCTGTGCTCGCTAACAAAAAATGTGTACCTTATTGTGTATCGCTTCTTAGAAAAGTGCATTGATGATTGGGAAATGCTCAAGCGCTATAAAGGTGATGTAATCGATAACTATTTTCAGAAACTAATCGAAGAAGTGCACGCTTGTGTTACCGTCAGAGATGCGAAACACACAAACTTTGTGGAGGTACGCTTTCTTCTTCTCAATTGGTCTAAGGAAGCCACCTCATTTTTCACTTAATTGATCTGATGAAACCAAGATTTCGAAGTTCAGGAGAGAAAAAAAGGGAAAAAGAAATCGTGAGAAACACGCCCACCATCTTCCTTCTCCTTCTGGAAAGAATATGACATTAGCCCACCTTGGGGTGATTTCGGAGCAGTCGATTTGGAGAGTGTTCCATCTAAGATTTGATTGTCGCTAGCTTCGTAGTACAGAGGACTGTAAAGAAAATTTTCCTCTTAAAACACGGTAAAAGGAAAGGGTCCTTGAATATGAATGGTACAACATTGTCGTTGCTCTCTCTTCCTCTCTCCTGTGATGTTCCGGTTCTATTAAAAGATATTAGTTCCGGAGATACTGCATTATCTTCACCTCTAGGCTGTGGGAGCATTTTTCAATGTGCTGTGACACGGGCTAATTATTAACGTTGCTTTCCTCCATAAAAATACACACGTATAACAATTTAGTTTCGAAACTTCAAAATCGTTTATCGGCGATATGCAGGATTATATTTCTGCATATGTGTGGACATTATGGACAACAACTTATACTATCTTGAGGCAATTCATAACTTTGTGGAGGTGAGTTCGAAAGTCACTGTTTTGTTGTTTAGACTTTATCTCCTTTCATACAAGACCGTTTTTCGGGAACTGTTCAACCTTCTTGTTTTTGTACTGTTCGCCTATCACTACGACACACTCTCTGCACTAGTGAAACACCAAAAACCTCAAGTACATTTTTTGTTGAGGCTCCGGATATGGGGCTATTTCAAGGCACTCATCACGAGTATGGCACTCGTTTCGGTGCAGTCGTCATCAGTTTTGGTGTCAGAATAGTTCCCGCTTGTGTCAAAGTGACGCTAAATTATACTGGTACCGAAAACGAGGCACTCATTGGTGATCCCCACGGGAATGTGCAGTGAATTCTACGTATTGGAGCAGGCGTTGCGCCAAATGGCTGGCACCAAAACTTGAACATCATATTTTTATAAAAGCGCTGAGCAACCACTTTTAATGAAATTTTGGTGGAAAGTAACTCCTAGTTCTCTGGGGTTTTTATGGTTGGATGGAGCTCATTTTCCTTTTTTTCTTTCTCATTTTTAGTTGCGCTTTTTGTCCTAATTGCAATTTATTATTTGTGTTTAGGTATTGAATGAGTATTTTCATAATGTCTGCGAATTGGATCTTGTGTTCAATTTTTATAAGGTCAGTATTTTCCCTTGATTCATTCTTTTGACATTTTCTGACTTTTGGTATTGCTACCTGTCTTTTTACGCACAATGCCAATTTTGCTTCTGGGAACTCTTCAGTCGAGGAGCTGTTATTGTGGAATATGCGGTTTTTTTTCGTTAAGTAGACGTAAGATTCTACGTATTTTCGCTATTGTGCAATCGCATGTACACGCGGAGTCTAACATCCACCTGAGGGTCAAGTTATACTTCATTTTGGCAAGCGCACCGCTTGTGCCTCCTTAAGTAGGCCCTGACCTTTCTAAGCATGCGCAATCGTCTGCTATTGCCGCTCTTCGCACATCCCGCAGATTCAGCCTAATGCAGTTTTTTGACTTCAAGCCTTTCTTTGTTGTCATATTTTCTAATAGATGTGTAAATATGAATGCTACTGCGATGCTTTACCAATGCCCACCACGTTTGTGTTTCAGATCATTCTCAGACCAAAACTAAAATATTAGGTTGGTGCAAAAGTCTTGAGACACTCGGATGCGTGTATAAAAAATCTTTTGGTATAGGGAGTTTGAGGGACGGTATTCCAGCGGAGCTTCCTGTAGCCTGGACTGCGTGATCTTTGCGACGTGAGGCCGAGCGTTATCATGCAGAAGATGTACAGAAACCCTTCTCGGTCGCTTTTCTTCGATTGCATGAGCGAGTTCCTGAGCTGGCGACTGTAAATGGTAGCCGTGACTGCCTGGCCTTGAGGGAGCAACTCATGGTATAGCATTCCCTTTGAGTCCCAGAAGCAGCACAGCAAAACCTTCTTTGAGTGCTGTCCTGGCTTGGGCTGCACGGGTGGATCTTCTCCTTTTGGGAGCCAGACAGCGACCCTCTTGTTGTTGTAGAAGATCCAGCTTTCATCCCCGGTAACCAGATCCTGCAGAAACTCCTTCCGATTTGGGGTAAGGAGGAGCGACTGGGCGATTGAGACACGCGTGTGACGCAGATCGTCGGTCAGTTGGTGCGGAATCCATCGAGCGAAAACTTTCCTGTAACCGTGCTCGTGAAGGTGTCGAACGACGTTGCTGTGATCGCACTCGAGAAGCTCCGCCAATTCCCTGCTCGTAGCCTCCGGCTTCTCCTTCACTTCGCTGAGAAGTCGGTCGTCTTCGATAAACTGGTCGCCCGGAGCGAGGATCGTCGTCGAGCATCGTATCTCCAGACTGAAAACGAGCGAATAAACGACTAACCGTCGCATGGCTGACGAGGTTCTCTCCGAATGCAGTGTTGATATTGGAGGCAGCGGAACGAGCACTGGAACCGCGGCGCCACTCGTAGAAGACGACTGCTCGAAGTTGACTTCTTGATACGCAAAGTGCTTGGGGACCTATTTAAATAGTGCTAGCGGTAACTCTGAGATTGCTCTAGAATATGGTGAAATCATGCGGTGGCAAAGGTATTGTGTCATTGCGTGACCTAATTTGTAAATTTGATGTCTCAGACTGTTGCATCACCTATAGTTGATTTAGACCTTTTTGAATGTTGTGAACTTTTGGTGTATCCGTGTGGGAATGTTTTTGGCTGAGGAATACGAGAACAAGCCAACTAAGTGCTCAACGTTGTAATGCTCACTTCCTAGAGTAGTGACGTAGATAGGTGTTTTTGCCGGTGAGCTTTTCAGTTGAGCGGCTTCGGTTCCGCTGTGAAGACCTTTTCGTTGATTATCATGTTTGCAAGTCAAGTTAGCGTAATCCAATGATTTCGGAGTTTCTTATTTATTTTTGTCGTCCAGTTATCTGCCCGATTGCATTCACTTTCATCCAATCAGATGTTTCGATGATGTAATAATTGCTTCTTGTTCGTTACTGTATCATTTTGCGGAGAAGAATTTATTTGATTCTGTTCAACTTGTGTAGGTGTATCGCTCCGCATTCTCTTAGTTCTCCACATTCCCTGCAGAGTGCTGTTGATTTTTATCCTTGACAAAGTTGCTATATGTAGTTCTGTTAAATATTGTGTAGGAGAAAGTTTTTCGCGGTTCGAAGCAGTTGCGAAAAAATTGCTGGTTGAGCAACTTTTTTGAATCGAAGCCAGAAAAGTTCTTTGCCGAAGGCATCAAAAGTCTGCCCGAAAAATGGCGAAGAGTGATAGAACGTGATGGTGATTACTTTGTTTCCTAATATGTTTTCTTGTTGATAAAAAATTAAGGTAATGATATGTGTCAAAAACCGCGAGAACTTTCCCTACAACCTATATTATTTTTCGGCTCCAGTGGCTTTTCATAGTAAGTTTGGTTAAATTATGATAATTATAATCTTTTATTCTGCATACTAGGTGAGTTGGTTATTAGCGTTCAGTGACAGTGAATGAAAATTATTTATTATTAATGCAGCACAGTACTGAAAATTGTCTTACTACGTAACCCATCACCTGACAGTTTCCTATCATTAGTGTTTTGTTTATTTTTTGAGTGCTTCAAATTATATGATTTATGGAAAGTCGAGCATGAAGTCTTCAATTTACGTGGTGCTCAAATTGTACTCCATTACATGGCTTTAAAGCTGTGATTGCCGGTAAGCACGCTTCGGATGAGTACGTACACAGGTGGCGAGAATTGCGTGTTCGTGACATTTTGTTTTCGCTTAACGTGCAGAGAAAGTTATGCGTGTTTTTGTGGCTCAATATTTTTGTATATTCGCTATTATTGTTCTGCTGGAAGACGATGTTGTTTTCGAATGTTCTGGTGAAGAACTGAGCCCGAACGCAAGGCGCGTTTTGAGCGCGGCTGAATTTAGAGCTCTTTTGCGAGTCTCACAACTGCTCTACAGAACGGCTTCTGGGGTGCCGAGATTTTCAAACGGTCTTTTGCATGATATAGGGGCAGATGCGGGACCACAGAACCATGTTTAATTTTTCCTGAACGGCCCTCTGAATACCAGAAAAGGGCGTCCTTGATTCGATTCCTTGTGGTGTCAAGTTTTTGCATTTCAAGTTGGCGTTTCAAAATACGCTGAAATAGAGATAGCAGGAATAGTGATGCCTCTTATATAAGGCGTTCAGTGCCTGCCAAGAAGGACTGCTTCATGATTGCGTGAAAAAAGTTGTACTAGAGACGGCTCCCTTTGGCTGTCGAACTTTCTCCCTGTTTTCTATAGATCGAAGTCGGCTTTGTGAGACACCGTACTATTGTCCTATTATGTAATAAGGACTAATTATTCATGCTAACTCCATTTTGCGTGAATTTGGAACGTCAGCTCGAAATGCAAAAGTTTGTCACGGCGAGGAATGAACTCGGGACCCCTTTTTTGGTATTTAGAGGGCCGTTCAGGAAAATTATGCCATGGTTTTCGTGGCTCCCGTGTGTGCCCCTATACCATGCGGAAGACCATTTTGAAAAAGCTTGGCACCTCCGAAAAACTTCCTGGTAGAGCTGTCAGAAATGTGAAGCGTTGGCAAGAAGAGGAAGACCAGGTTACAACTGAACCCGTAAGAGATAGAGCGGCTTCCCAGCACACGATGTGCGGAGACTAAGAAGAGGAATGACCAAAAGGATAAAAATCTCCAAGAAAGTGCAACCATTATGGAACTACAAAAATCTGTTCAAATAATTGCACAAAATGAGCACTGATTCGGAGGTTGTCGCCTGTCGAAGGGGAAATTTCCAGTCGCTCAGACTACCTCAGGATCGCAAAGAAAATTTAAGATGTGACGGGATTTTTTCATGGTGTGTCGCGGCCCTAGGACGCTCGGTAATTTCACAGAAAAAAACGAACTAACAGATACACGTAAACGTCTGTAAAGGTCTCACAATTATCTCTTCTAGAAACGCTCAAGAATACTCGTAATTGAGCTGGTAAGTTGCGCAGAAGTCTCAACGTACGGCTTTGGATGAACCTCGGCATGATGCAGCTTGTTGATATCTTCTTTCAAGCTCCTCACGAGGTTGGCAAATAACTTTTATTGGGCTGACGTTTCGGCGAGGATCGCCTTCTTCAGAGCCTGAAAGGGTCGAAACAATTTATGACTACCCGATCAAAGGCCTCAGCCAGCCCTACTGAAGTTCGAGACCAAATTAAGCAGGCTTACATAGGTCGTTTGTCACCAGTGATTCGATTTAAGAGCAGTCGTCGTCTGTCCTGCTGGTCTCTGAGGGTGGTCTCCGGAGGACTGGAATTTGTCACGGTTTAGGTGGCCCCCGTTTTGGATTATGTCTGATTCTTTAGTTATGTCGAAGTCGTGAGGGCTGTGAGGCGTTTGGTTAGGGTAGGAATTAATTGTTTCGACGTCGGCTCTCGAAAGCGAATCCCAAGACGTCAAGAAACGTCAGCCCAGTAAAGTTATCTGCCAACCTCATGAGGAGCTTGAAAGAGGATATTAACAAGCTACTCGTGATTGAAAAATACCTTCAGGAATTTCGTTCATCGAAATTTTATGAGTCGGGGGTGCTATCAGTCCCTCTAGCAACACTGGATACTGTACCTATTTTTGGTAGTGTGCTCGATTATTTTATAAATCTTCTCTCGAAATGGTACTACTGAAACAACATGGTTGATTCGCGCGATATCGTGTTAGAGAGATTGTGACGACGCAATCCGTCGCCGAGAGAGTTTCGCTGAATTACATCGGACGCATGCCTCGTATTGACCTGGACTGTTAGTGATGAGGAGGTCGCGAGCAGATGTGGGCGCACTGGACGAGAGGCAGTCGATTCCTATTCATCAGCACTGACAATCCGCTTAGCCTTTTTTGGCAGCAAAACCTCCCCCACTTTGTAAACCTCAACAGCTCTTCTGGCGACCGGATTCAGCCAGTCACGTCGACCAAATGATTGAATGTTTCTTTCGGTTGCACGATTGTTCTTTAGCCATTTCAAAGGTGTTGCCATTCTGAGTCTGGTCTAACACCTCCGCCTCTTGCTTTGTAAAGCGTATGAATTTCTGTCGTTTTTTCTCCTGTGAGTATGGAGTTACAGGGGGAGTCAATGCCACCATGCGCGATTGCTGATACAGGTATGCGGGAATCTACTGGGTCATGCTTAGCCATATCCTTGCTTTTTCTTAGGAGCAGGGTCAACCGTCATGTGGCCAAGTCCTGGGTTTGACAAGCCGTCTTCTGAGACGAGTCCTAAGACAGGGTTTTTGGTACAATCTCCCCCTCCACTCCCACACACCCCGTCCGGTCAGACTTTGCGAATCACGCGAGTTGCTAGTGTAGCGGTGCGTCGCGGCAGGGAATATCAATTGCTACGTTACCATACGCGAACCGCGCATGCGCGTGACGAATCGCCGATTCGCAAGTATGCTTCGGCCTCACGCTGTATTGTTTTGCAGTCGATTTCTGGCCTTTTGGAGTTTTCCTTATACAACCGACCATTATGCCGAAGACCAGTCCACACAGCTCAACACCTCCCACTTTTTCTTCCTAATCAGCATTTCCCCAAGATCGTCAAAAAGCTATTAAAACGATCCCCTTTGCCGCCACAGCGATCCCTTGAACTTCCAGAAGTACTGTCACCTTTCTAATCTTTTGACCTTTGCGCAGGCCAACGTATAAAACGTCATAATAGCAGTTTTTGTTTGAGTTTAGTTTAGTTAGTTTTGAAAGAATTTCCTAACCATCAATCACCGGCAATGCACTTTTACTTCTTATTGTCAAATATTAAACAGTTGACCAAGGAAAAGAACAACATCGGCCGTTGATGTGAAAAGAGCTGCAATTCTTACCTAAGGTTGACTAGTAACAAGTGTAATCGCCACAGCACCCTTATTGTGGGCAAATCTCGAATTCATTCTCATCCATATCAGACATTCACATGCTGGGTCGATTAACTGGTTCAGACTTTGCTCGGAAATATGAAAAACTGTTCATCGAGATAATCACTATTACAATATCATCCTACTATATATATAATCGGCTAAGCGGTTGTGTGTGTGTGTGTCTGACCGGAAATTCATAACTTCACCCCCTTTGGACCAGAGCGCTCAAACTTCTAGGATATATAGGGGGCCGAGGTGAACACTGATGACGGGTGGCGGGAAGTGATAACGCGTGAAATGGAGAGTTTGCACTTATGTATGATATGTGGGGTGAGGCGGGGACCAAGAAGTTGAGTGAACGAATGTGGTAGCAACTGATAAGAACTGATAAGGGGCGTCAAAGTGTGGATACCACCAGTTTCGTTGCGGCCTTGCGGTTACATTGGAACCTTGGCTCTCACATGTGGTATAGGGGATGGGACGGGAACACGGATAGCGGATGATTAGAAGTGATAACAAGCGATAACGGATGATAAGGAAGTTTGGATTTTGAGTACTGCTAATTTCGTTGCAGCCTTCGTGGTGACAGTAAATATTAGCTCCTACACGTTGCGTGGAGGTTGGGACCGGACACCGATTGTGAACAGGATGAACTGATAAGAAATGAAGGAATGATAAGAGCGTTTGAATGCAGGTCTCTACAACTTCGTTGCAATTATCACTGGCAAGCGATCAAGGTGGCGAGGGTTGAATGTAGGTGACAGAAAGTGGTATGAGCGGCAACTGTACTGATAAAAGTAGCGACAGTTGAGCGTGCACTCAATTGAAC